AAAAAAAAAAAAAAAAAAAAAAAAGATATACCATGTACAGGAACAAATTCCATATGGTGAATGTGATCATTATGTATATCTAAATTATGCCAAATAAGTTTTTAATCAGAGAACAAATTAAAAATACTGCTGGAAGGTCAAGTAGCATAACTGAGGAGTATCGATTGGACTTGAAGGTGTTTGATGATTTTTAACAAGAACAGTTTCAGTATATAGTGGGGCACAGACTGGCTGGACTGGGCTGAGGATAAACAGAGAGTGATAAAATGTAACAAAGTGAGTAGATACGTGTTTAAGTAAGTCTGGAGTGCCTGTGGATCAAGAGATGATTTGTTTGATCTTTATTTTAGAGGTGGAAGGACATGTTTCTAAGCTTAATAGAATGATATAATGAAGAAGGAAAGGGAATGGAAATGTTGCATCAGTCCAGGGTCTGGGAGGCAGAGTCCTCTCAGAGACCCTCTGCTTTCCTGGTTTTGTCCCTTCACCCTGGCAGGAATGCTGGAGATGAAGCAAAGCTGACTTGAAACCAAAGAACCCTCTGGTGCACAATGAGGAACTCAGAAAACAAAAGTAATACAAAGCAGAAATTTAATAATAATATTGCTGAATCATGAAGTGTATGGCCGGGAGAAGCTTGGAAGATGAGCTTCTCAGCTCACTGTCTTTGTCTTGTCCACACTTTTAGGGGTAAGCTGATCTTCTAAAACTGGCTGTTTTGCCCATTGGTACAATCAGGGCCTTAGCCTTTGTTTCTGGGGTGAGCCAAGGTTCACAGGATCTGTGGGTCCATGGAAAAAATATGCAAACGTCCCACAAAGGCCAGCGTCCTCCAGCACATCGTGTTATGAGTAAGCATGTGGTCATCTCTTATATTAGCCATCCAGCTCATGCCCTGTACTGCCTGCCCTTATCTGGAGAGGGAGAGAGAGAAAAACCTTTTTTGTGAAAAGATAAGGATCCAGAGTATGCTGGTCTGCTTTTCAAAAATTACCTTATTTTGGAAATCATTCAAAAGTTAGAAAACATTGAGAAATAAAATAGTATAGAGAATAGCTATATATCCTTTACCCCAACTCATTTGTTGTTAATATTTTCCCCATTTACTTTTTCACCTGCATTTACATGCCATAGTATACTTAGCAACTTCATGAATTTATTCTGATATCATATTTTTAATCAAATTATTCATCTATATTCCATCTTTTTGTCATTTGACCTATTAATGTCCTTAGTAGTAAATTTCACCTTTTACTGCATAAATTAGTTTTTCTGTTATGTTTCTTTAGTCTTCATTAATCTGGAATGTTTTGGTAGCCTATTTCCCTTTTTATAATATTTTTAAGAATATAGGACACCTCTCACTTTTTTTTATTTTTAAAGAACATAACTCATTTTCTTTGGCTGATGTACTTTGTGAGTAGGTTTATGGCTTATATCTACATGTCTCTGCAAAGCCTTGTGTGCTCATAGGTGAGGCATTTAGAAGGTAGTTGGATCATGGGTTTGTGATACTGGATTGCTCCACTGATGGGTTTATAGCTGGATGTGATGTTGGGAGGTGAAGCCTGGAAGGAAAATGTGGGTCACTGTGGGTGTGGCCTAGAAGCTTGTATATATATCTGTCCTTTCTCCTCATTTGACTGTATGCTGCTTCCTGCCTGCCTTGCCATGAACATTTTCTCCTGCTTTGCTGCCCTGCCTTGGAGCCAGCTGACTATGGATCTAAACCTCTATGAACTGTGAACTAAAATAAATCTTTCCTCCTTTAACTTGTGGGTATTAAGTGTTTTGTCTCAGCAATGAGAAAGTAATTAAGATACTAGGTTAAGATTATGCTTTCTTGGCCAGAATACTGTTTAGATATCTTTCTCGGGATATTCATCTGAAGGCACACGTATGAGCAAAAGCAGTCTTGGGTAACAAAAGCAAAGCCAGAGGCATCACAATTCCAGATTTGAAGTTATACCACAAAGCTACTGTGATAAAAACTACATGGTACTGGCATAGAAACAGGCATGTGGATCAATGGAACAGAATAGAGGAAGCAGAAACAATTCCACGCACATTCAGCTATGTGATCTTTGACAAAAGGGACAAACACATACATTGGAGGAAAGATGACCTCTTTAATAAATGGTGCTGGGAAAATTTAATATCCACAGGTAGAATATTGAGTCTAGACCCATATATCTCCCCGTGCACTAAGCTAAAATCAGAGTGGTTCAAAGATCTAAATGTTCAAACAGAACCATTTAATCTGCTAAAAGATAAAAATACATACAACTCTTGAAAACATAGGCATAGGCAAGGACTTTATGACAAGAACCTCAATGACACAAAAAATACTGAGAATCAGTGAATTTGATCATAATAAATTAAAAAGCATCTGTACAGCAAAGTAAACAACCAACAGAGTTTAGACACAACCTACTGAATGAGAAAAAAACTTTTGCCAGCCTTTCAGCAGAGAACTAACATTCTAAAATATATAAAGAACCCCCAAAATTAGACTCTCCTAAATAAAAGGTCCATTCAAAACATGGGCAAACAAAATGAATACACACATCTCAATAAAGTAGAAATGACCAGTAGATGCATGAAAAATGTTCACCATCACTGGCCATTAGAGAAATGCAAATGAAAACAACCACCCAACTCCAAAAAGAATGACTATCATTGGTGTAGTCAGGGTTTTGGCAAGGAAATACATTTAATACAGGACACATAATTTATAGGAATATCTTATGATATTTACCCAAAAAATCAAACAGAGGAGTGAAGAGATTAACCGCACACTAGACTCCCAAAGAATTCAGCCAAGGGCCTGGATCCCATAGCATTGTCCCACACAAGTCCAGCTAAAGGCGTAGAGTCCAAGGCAGTGTCCTCCATGAGTCCAGCCAGTGGCCTAGAGCCTAAGGCAGTGTCTTATGCTTGTCCATATTGCACCTGAAGGGCCCAAAGGTCAGTGGTGGAAGCAGAAAACCTATGCCAGTGGGATGAGTGCCACCAGGCTGAGGGATCCACATTGGAGTCAGAAAGTGATGCTCCTGGTGAGAATCAGAGCTCCCCTGACAACAACAGCCATTCCCAGCGACAGTGGGGCCCCAAGCTCCTCTGATGAGAACAGCCAAGTTTGCATAGGAAAACCAGCTGCAGCAAGCTTCTCCTAAAAAAGTCAACAGCCCTCAGTGTTCCTCTCCAGTTCTCTTTTTATGGCCATTGGCAACAATTCTCAGGTGGATCTTCCATGCCTAACCACGCCGATTCAGTTCAGCTGGGCGTTACAATGGGCATTGACCTTTAGTTAATCCACCATAGTCATCAAATAATAACAAATGCTGGCATGCATTTGGGAAAAGAAAGGAAATCTACATTATTGGTGGGAATGTAAACTAGTATAGTCACTATTGAAATCTGTGTGGTGATTCTTCAAAAAACTAATAAATTCCATTTGCCCTAACTGTTCCCCTTCTAGGTATCTTCCTGAAAGAGTTAAAGTCATCATATCACAGGGATTCATGCATACCCATGTTAATAGCAGAGCGATTTATAATAGCTAAGTCTTGGAAATGGCCTAGGTGCCCATGAACAGGTGGTATTTATATACACTGGAGTACTACTGTGCCATAAAGAAAGATAAGTGTGAGGGACTCAGGTAAATAAATGCACCTTGAGGCACATTATGAAATACAGGATTCCCTACTGCTGATAAAGTAAATTTACTTTGAAATTGTAAATATCACGAAGAAACCTTTAGAAAGATTGTTTGAATGGGACTCATTCTGAATTGGTTTGCTGGGGTGTTTGTGCTAGCGCATGGCTGGCTGTGATTAGTTCTCTGCTGTGTCTCTTCTCTGCATCCATCAGATTCTTCCTTGCACACATGGGATAGTCCCTTGGCCAACAGTGTCTGCCTGCAGTAAGTTTTTGTACTTTTTGCTATACAGTTATTGACTTCACATGAAGAGGCCAAACCCACTTGTGCTTTGCGGTGAGGAGCTATCATTGATGATGGACAAAGGCCAAAACTGTAG